TCCCGCCATCGGGCACCCTTATTACCATATAATCTCACGCTCTGGATGTTTTAATTTAGACGGATGATTGAATGCGAAATTACTCTCTTTAACTTATGGGGGAGCGTATTATTGTTTTTAAGATTCTGTCAATGTTCACCAATGAACTTTCCAGACAATCTTTTATTGTTAACTCTGCATAAAAATAAATCTGTATTTTTAGATTTTTACATAATGTGTTAAATAGGCTTATACCGTATTAATTATAATACAAACATTTTATTTAATTTTTTTTTGCGCTTCTGATATTGTATAGTTTTAAATATTAATGCACAAAACTGGCCTAAAAGTGTTTACAAAATACGAAGAATGAACTTTACTTTTTTTAAAGACAAAAGAAAAGCACCTTTAGTTGGCAAAGTAAAACCATAACATCCAAACTATAAAAATATGTATGCCTAAATTATTAAAATCGGTTAAAAATAACAGGACAGCGTATAGAATGGACATCATCATGTTTATGAAGTGATGTTGTTGGAGATACAGCCAGATAAAATCAACATTGAATTCATTTTTTCAAGCCAGTACATTATCTTAGGCGAGAACATTAGTTCAGACCTCGATCAAGCAGCAAATACTTATTGATTTTTTCCTCACTGATGTATCATGTTAATATCATCACAGAATACTTGACATCTACAAAATGAGCCAAACCATCGTACGATTTCATACCGTTTGATAAATACATACACATTATCAGGAGCAATTTAGTATTATACACGGGCGATTGGTTTCCGTCACACCCGAAGGCCCCGGCGCCAATTCACTTTAAACAAGTTTTCTAGTTCGGCATAAACTTTTCATAACGTCATAACGTTACTGCATCGATAGTTACAGGGAATGCTAATTACAGTGTGAGATGGTATTATGGTGATGATGTAGGGTGAGAAGGACTCACCAGGCCGGTGTTGATTATACCATCGAACTATTCTATCTATAATTACACCTACTTACCTATTGCTGGAATTTTGAACATGACATTTTCTTTTTTCTTTTTTTTTTTTAGAAGCCGGCTTTTGGTTTTCATTGCTGCGAAACGAACAGTTGCGATTCAAACGCAATGATGATCTATCTATTCAGCGGGTCATCCTTATGTGAAAAACGTATGTAACTTGACAAGCGAATATAAAAATGTGCATACTAGCGGCTTTAAAATATAGCTAATTCATTTGGTAATGCGCTTAGTAGTAAAAGTTCTTTCAAAGTGGAACATTCGGATATGCGTAATTAACTATTTACTAGTATATTTCTTTGGCGGTGCTTTGTAGAATTCCGATTACTTCAGTAGTTTACGTGTAGCTACATTCCAAAAATTCTAGGCCAGTCTTTTCCAGCTGTAGGCAAAGATTTTTAGTCAGGTTTAGATTTACCAAACAGAGACGTAGAAAGTACACAATGTTATACAACGAATGATAGTAATTAGGCCAGTTCAGTTCACTATTATTTCATAACTGGTCTACTAATTCGTTTATTGTACACAACTTATTTTATGGTCCTTAAGCTGGGCAATCATTGCGTCGTATGACGGTCGCACCATCCAACTCCGCTCTCTGTGAGCGATAGACGATGCGACGCCGTCTGCTGATTATCGGTGGCAGTCTGAACGGATGTCATTAAAAACATTCCGTTGCGCGCGTGTCGTCGCGTTGCGTTCTTTATAGTGTATCACGTCGGCCGACGACACCGTCGTGCGCAGTAGTGCGTGCCCGGCTTTATGCTAAGCCCCGCTCCTTGAATACAAGGTCCCAAAAAACATGGTAAACGTACGTAGGCCTAAACGCCTGCGTTTGAGTGGGACAAGCGCGTATTACTGACCGAGTTAAGATTGGTCGGATAAATTGACACTTCGGAATAGTTCATTGCACAGTCAACGCACAAGAAGTCGGTCGGTTGACTAAGACTAACCAACCGCTACATATCTATTTACTGTATTGTTGTGATAAATGACAAGCGTCATCCTCTCCACCTTAAACTTGTCACTTCAACAGTGCAACGCACCGTGTTCAAGACCATCATGCCATAGTCATTCTAAATGCATCGGGTAACGCATTACAAATTCATTTTAACGTTTTTATCGTAAATGATAGTATACTACGATTATCCACCAGCTACACCAGTCAATAAAACTTAGCTTTCCGGAATGACAGCAACCTGACCAGTCAGAACCAGTAATACCCGCTTGTCCCGGCAAACGCACATTTGCGTAAGTTTTAAGGCCTGTTTATACTTCAGCGATAACGATAACGATAAAAAAGCGATTGTTCATATAGAAAACAAAAGAAGTAAGAGAACTTTTTACACTAGGCCGATTCGATAACGATTTATCGTGTATACGATAACAAAATATTTTAACAAATTAAATCAGATGACGTCATAATCATGGAAAAACGATAAAATCGTTGCTACTACTACGATTTTAATGGTTTTCCATGATTATGACGTCATTTGATTTGATTTGTCAATATGTTGTTATCGCATAACTGATAAATCGTTATCGAATCGTTCTAGTGTAAAAACTTTTCTTATATCTTTTATTTTCTATATGAACAATTGCTTTGTAGCATTTTTATCGTTATCGTTGAAGTATAAACAGGCCTTTACGCTGTCGTGTTGTGGGGACCTTATGTTAATCGAGGTTCTATACAAAGAATATAGAAACGGTGTTATTACTTAATGAATCTTTCAATTGGTGAGAACCATATTTTCTCGTTTGAAATTTCAAGTATAACCTAAATAAAGTAAAGTATTTTAAGTAAAACCTAAATGCAAAATATCCCAGTACTGACAGCAAAATAGTTTTTATAGTCAATACTTTTACCCGTGTGTTACTTTATATTATACTATTATAAAAATAGTATCAAATTTCGAACTTTCATGTGAAAGGAATCCGTACTTCCTCCGGACTGACATCTTAATTGTCAAAGAAAATAATACCTAAAGCTTTAGGAGGCAATTGACAATTGAGGGCGCACTAACAGGATAGATAAAGTGACATAGTCATTAAAATGCATTGATTATTTTGAACGGATGTTCATGCCTACACCATTAGGGTTTCGTTTATAGTACATCAAGTTTAAATGACAGCGATTAAATGGCAAACGTTCAGGGTTGTTGAAACCTTGGAACAAACCCGATAGACCATGGAGATAATTACTTGAATCTCCGTGGGTTTAGGGAGCTCGTGGGAGGAATTAACTCGTATATTGAAAATAATGCGATCCTTCAACAATAGATGAGCTCCTATGTTTGAAACATCACTAATAGCATACTGATGATGTAAAAATCAGAAAGAACATTAGTAGCCTAAGCTACAGGGTTTCATTTTTCTTGCAAAAAAATCTCAGCTTACCTATTCCTTTCCTATTAATCACAGCATATTTATCCCTGAATAGCGTGTATTGGAAGGGAACACCCCACCATAAAACGTTTGCACCCCAAGGCGTCCTAACTGAAAATTTGCTAAATCACCTCACATCCCATTATTTTCCATAATAGCACCATTACGTAAACGTTGCAACCCCTCCTTCCCAATCAACCTTTACGTCCCCATGTCTATATATTTTTACATATGCCAGTACCCTTCCAAATTTGCCCATGATCTAATATCAATAATGATGAGAATAACATTGATGATAATAATAATAATAAAGGATTTCAGAAAATCAACGTTGCATAAATTTTATAGGATGATGGAGAAGATATTATGCATTTCACGGTAATTTTTCGTTGGACCTAGCTATCACTACTCTGAAACTCCACAGAAAAGTGCGTTAAACATAAAAGTTTATTCATAGGAGTGACGTTCTGACCAACATGATGCATTTACTGAATACTCAATACGTTCCCAACTACTACGAAAAAAACTCTTGCAAAGTTATTCGGGTGTGAATCCCATCTTCAAAAGGTTAGTGTCATAACCGCTACACCATCCAGATTGTGCTTTGTGACCGATAATAATAATAATAATAATAATAATAATAATAATAATAATAATAATAATAATTGTCGACTTATATAACGCATATTGTAGAGATAGTCACATTTTTTATTCACTTATATAGCGCATATTGTAGAGATGGTCACTTTTTTTATTCACTTGTTCACTTAACTACTACACTAGTAGGCCTACAAACAAGTGCCGGGAACCAAGGCGACCAAGGCCTGAAATTAGGCTTCCGGACTAATCTTAATTATTTAAATAGTGTTAAATCCGATCCCCAATTTAGTTAGTGTTGAACCCGATCCCCAATTAGCAGCGGGTACTGCAATGCTATTTCGATATTGTTCTTCAGTCTATTCATGTTAAACTACAGTATGTAGAATATCGTTATTTTTACTAGACGATCCAAGTACGGAAATTGACCAAAGTGGAGGGCAGGAAACACGTGCAAAAGCAATAAACAGCAATAATAATAAATAATAATAATAAATAATAATAATAATAACAATAATAACAACAATAACAACAATAATAAGAACAATAATAACAACAATAATAATAACAGTAATAATAACAATAATAATAATAATAATTATAACAATAATAACAATAAAATATTAATAATAGTAACAATAATAACAATAATAATAATAATTATAACAACTACAATAATAACAATAACAATAAAATAACAATAAAATAATAAAACAATAATAATAATAATAATAATAATAATAATAATAATAATAATAATAATACAGTAATAATATTAATAAAAATAATAAAGTTCGCCCTCCAATTGGAGACCACGTGTGGGACTTTGGTGGTCTTGGGGTTTGGTCTCCACACATAGGGATAGCTAAGTGTTAATTGTTTGAAGATTGTTATTTGGTTCTTTGAAAAAATGGTCTCGAATTATAGGGGTCTCGGAATTAGAGGGTGCACTGTAATACGAGCAGAAGACAAACCAACATCAACGAGAAAAACGAAAACAAATTCAATAGCAATAAATCAAGAGAAATCAGTTTTTTAAAGTGTTTATTACACCAATCATTATACTACTTGCATAAAATATAGCTTTTAATAATATATAGATATAAACAATAAAATTATAACTTGTCAAACAAATTCTACCATTCAGCCATGGGCTAATTCAATCTTTATGTATATTTTTAAAAAGTGAAGCAAAGTGGATTAAATTTCCTCCGTGAATCTTTCTGAAGTTAAATTCTTCCATGGTTATAGCCTACCCTTCCATGGTATTAATCCACATTACTTTTCTGCTTGAAAAATGTACTGCACCCATCCATGTAAGATTCGATAGAACAACTATCATTCGATTACTCTTAAAATTAATCTAGGAAGCCAAGGTAGTTTTAAACCATTGTGTTTAATATCCCAACAACATATTATACTCATAGATTATCAGCTGGAATATCTTTAGCGACTACAAACGACTTATAATGCATGTGTTAATATAAATTATCAAGGTTAAAATTAGGAAAACATGCCTATTTATAAAACTATATTAAAAGAGAATGGCTTTTTGGTGTAAAGATATCTTGCAGTGGCATACAAAGCAGCACATAGTCTTTTATACAGACAATCCCTGTAGAACAATGCTAATTGTATCTTAATAAAGGTAACAAATTAAAAGAACATGGTCACAACTCAAAACATGCTACTGTTTTTGACTACGAATCTTATCACCAATTCTCTTACTCTACTCTGTAATTACAGGTATTATGTAAACCTATTTTTAGTTCAAAGCATATTAGGTAGACTGTTGATGATGAGGTTATAAATATATTGATACATTATGGTACTAGAGTGGAGCTGTAGCCTAGTAGCAGCAGGTTGTGGGTTCAAATCATTTGAGACTCCAGATTTCTTTATTGTTATCACGGCTAAAACAACTCTACTATTTAGGCCTCATAATGAGACTGCTTATACTTCCATCCAGTAATTGGCAAATGTACTTTTTGATTAAAAGTAATATAAATTTTAATCAATAAAATTTTAAAAATTGTGCCAATTACGGTGCTGAATTCCTTTTAGGCTAGAATTTCTTGTTCTGCAGCATTTCAAATTATCATTATCCGGTATCAATTTACAGAATCATGCACAGATTGATACTCACAAATCAAATGTTAATGACGACATTTTACGCGCGTAACCGAAAAATTGTCTGAGATTACCAATGCACTAATTTTCGACTCATGCTGTAGTTTGGAGGAAATAATGAGTCGGATCACTGAACACTCTCGGATACACCTACCTGATATCTATCCTGCCTTTGAGGCCATCTTATAAACAAAATATCATAACCTCAATTAGAATGCGCCAAATTAATCGGCAACCTTCGTGTAATAAATCCAAAGTATTCACATTTCAACATGAAATGAAAACCTATTTTTCATCAATGATGGCCTATTTCATGACCTAGTTGACATGATGTGCACTCGCCAATTAATTCCATGTTTAATGCCCGAGGGAGGATAAATACCATACCGTTAACGGAGATATATTATATATGTCACTAAAATATACACACAACATAAATACAGTATATACATATATAAATCTTATTCATATATAAATGTATATATGTATAAATATGTCTTGGTGTGTGAATAAAGGCGCTTCTAGATGTATGTGTCATGGGTTTTAGAATGCCTATAGTGGTGGTTTCTATCTGGTGTTTTCTGTATTGTGTAAATGGGTGTCTGTGAGGTGTATATGTATAGTTGTGTCCATGAAGTTGTGTCTGAGTAGATGTTCGTCGGGGTGTTTTGCATTGGGTGTTTCTGGGCTTAGGTAATGTTTATGTAGATCTGTTTGTGGGTGTAGCTGTGAGGGTGTGTTTGTGGGTATATTTTTATGGGGTGCCTCTGTGTAGTGTGTACTGTGTAGGTGTGTTTTGCATTGTGTGTTTTTTGTGTTGGGTGATTGCAGGGTATAACTGTGATGTGTCTGTAAGCATGTTGGTGGGGTGTTTGCTAGGGGGTTAATGGGATACATTAATGGGGGTGTGTCTCATGAAGATTTCAGTTGAGTATAATGTGTTTGCGTGTTAAATATAATACCTGAGTACTATGTGCATGCACATGTTTTCTTGGTAGCTCTATAACTTCTAGATGCGATTACAGCTATATATATTTTATATAGATATACTTTACTAAGCGAGTAACCTACTATGGGTAACATGGGTGGAATGATCAAAGACATTCTTTACAAGCCTAAACCACAGCTGGAATGGTCTCTTCTGGGAGTGGGCTGAAATGAGGCTTCTTGTACCTGGAAGACAAGACAGTAGTAAATTATACATTATACAGGTAAATCATGATGAAAAAATGATGCTATTTTTATAAGGCATGCAAAAATAATAATAAAAATATGTTCTGTATTAATTTATAAATGTGTTTATATATTTCTCTGAACTCCTCTTTCCCTTTGTTTATATGTTGTATTGAAGATTTTTAGTGTACACAAAGCAAAGAAATATTGTGAAAGATTCATCATTAATAAAATTAACAAATGATAATATCAATAATAATAATAATAATAATTTTAAAAAATAAAAGTATAAGTAACAATACAAATTAACAATAATAAAAAGAATACCAATAACAATAATAACAATAAATAATAAAAACAACAATAGAGTTGGATCCAGGTATTTATAATAGAAGAGGTTGCATGGACGGACTTTTTATCAAATTTTACAAAATTGTTGGCCATGACGTCACCACGACTCTAAATGGCACTCTTCAGGCTTAAATTTGAATGTAATGGTTTGTTTCCCATTTTTTTCAAATATTTAAGGGGTCAGATATCTTCAACAAGAAGGTTCAAAATATGTAAGTAGCTCCTATTATATTTGAAGGACGCAATCTTGGTAGATTACCCCATTAAATAATAAACAATGCCCACATACGTATGTAACAAATATTTTGCATTTCCCTTAGTTATTAAATATCATAATTGATTGTATGATTAATATCACAATCATGCAATTTTCCACATACAATTTTAGCATCAAGGACGATGCTACGACCGTGACAGATGAGGTTGCCATGGCAGCAGAGGCCATCCAGGGTTGAAGAAAGACTCCTAACGTAGACAGAGCACCTAAGATAAAGAAATATAGTGTATCAATATTACTGTAATGTACATACATGTGCATGTTCACATTTTCAGATGACGGAAAAATTCATATTATGAAGCAAAATAGCGACATCTGTTTTCATAAGTTACATTGTACTAGTATACTAGTATTTTATCATAAACTCTGTTTATTAAAGAAATATTTCCGAGTTCCTATAGGAAACTCCCTTCACTGAACCTGATTACTGGCTTGTATAATTTTGGTTGCAACGTTACATTGTTATGTGTAGAGCTATGACCTTCGGCCAACATAATTCCATACAATAAGCAATGAAACGAAGCACGCGCAACAGTTTTTCATTGCAATCCGCTCTACAACTGACTCTCAGCAGAGACCATTGCGTCGCGAAGTGCTAACAAAGAGCAGGGATGAGAGTTAATACGACAGTGTGTGCTTGGACTTAAAGTAGACTACAAACACATTAGATTAAAATCAACTTTATTAACTGTTGCATGATATACTACATTGCTTTCAAAAATATCAAAAGCAATTGTTACCTCAATGTAGTTTGCATACTGAAAGTTCATGTTTTGTACTACCTGACGTGTTATCGTACCGAATACTTAGTATATGTCTAAATACTTTCAGTAGGCTAGGCTAGCCTAGAAAAAGTATTTATTTTTGGAACGTACTGATTATTTGGTACGATAGCTTGAAATATGACTCCTATTGCAATTGTTCCATACAAAATACATTTCAAAAAGAGAAAGTAAATACAAAAAAAAAAAAGCTGAAAAAAAAACAATGCCCACTTGAAAGTAGGGCAACACAAAACAATCATTTAGCCTAAGGTATTGTACTATTTTGCTACTAACTGATTAATGACTGATGTCATGTGAGTGTATAAGAAATATAATTCAATAGATTATATAAATGATTAATCTATATAGACAGGTGAGAAAATAACCCTCAATAAAAGATGAATACAAATATGTAGAGAATTATTACCAAACAATTTTGTTACTTAAAATAACTCCGCAATATAAATCATGATGTGTCATCGCTCATTTGAAATACCATAAGGGTTCTCAAAAAGCGGCTTGCTTAATAAAGTCGTCTCATTCAATTGGTTGCCAGTTTCAGCATAAAACAAAAAACAAAAATGGAAATGATTCAAGCAGCATCTAGAGCTGTTTGGCAGTTTATTTTACACATCAACATAGATTTTGTTTAAATTGAGTAATGACATTTAATAGAAACTAATAATTTGTTAACTTGTCTTAAAAAAAAAAATTGTTAAAGGTAAGAATTATAATAAATCGAAAAGTCAATTGTGTTGTTGTATACAATAGCGAGTCAAGTGGACGAGCAGTAAGGGCAGGGGTGCCACTAACTACAGCCATAACATTGGTGCTAGTTCAAGTCGTTCCTCGCCCAGGGTTTCGGTTTGTAGAACAAAGTCTTCTCGGATAAGGACTTAAAATGGAGGTCCAGTGTGTACATCTGGCTCGTAGGGGGTTACCCCGATGCTATGGTTCACTTAAGCCCTGTCGTCGTGGAATGATATGAACGTGTAGCTACAATAGGTGAATCGGCTACTAGGTCTCCCTCCACTTTGGGACTGGGTTTTCCATGGTCCCTAATTAGAATACAGATAAAAGAATTGGTCTTTAATTGGAGGATCTCTAATTAGAGGGAGACCTATATTTAAGAAATCAGGAAGCTCAGCTGCAGCAATTGTGACCAACCCACATGTGCGACTATGCAAAACAAAAATATTCTGCACCTTATTCCTAACCATAATAGGGGAAAAAGACTGGTACAGAGGGTTAGAGCTGTGGGGATGAGGGTTTTAGTTGTGGGGCTAAAGGGTTGCAGCTAAGGTTGGGGGCTGTTTTTGATAAATCACAGAAATCACTAATAATTACCTCATTATTAAAAATTAAATGGCAAGATGGCAAATAAATCAAGTTGAAACAAATAGCAGATAAATAACGTGATGACAAACCTGCTGCAATTGGTATTCCAAGGCCGTTGAATATACAAGCAAAGAAGAAATTTATGTATATTCGTCGCACTGTGTGCTTTGACAAATCGATAGCTCCAGCAACATCCATCAAATCGTTCTGTAACGAGAGCATTATATTTAAACAATCAATCAAATTTATGTGCTGTAATATACAATAATAAACATTCATCCCTCTAAATTAGTTAAAAACTTTTTTTTTTCTTTATTCTTCTTTGTTGCAATTTAAAAAAAACTGAGCTTCTGGTTTTTGATTGGCTGTGGGAAGTCTGTAGCATCTAGATGCCCTTACTAATTATAACAAACTCTCAAACTCTACTGTGGAAAAAAAAATAAAAAATAAAAATTTACAACTACCTTCACAACCATTGTAAAGGCGGATTTACACTAAGCGCATTTATTTGCAGACTCACATTTTTATCAGAGTTTTTTGCTTCTGCGAAATTAGTAGTTCAAACTGTTCCTACTTTTTGCGAGGCAAAAAAATGTGCATCCAATCAGATCTCAGTAAGCGAATCAACGCTTTCGTTTTTTGCACAAATAAATTTGCCTAGTGTGAAACCGGCTTAGGATTATCTATTAGCACTGTTATATCCGCGAACATTGATGTATTGAGGAGGCTGATGGTGTGCATTGAGAAGGTAGTGGGGTAGTGTTACTTATGTAACAGACCTTTCTGGAGTGTCAATAAAACTTAACAACCAATCAGAACACTTGTCCTAGAAACACACATGTTTTCATAGGTTTATGCTAATGTCTTTGTGGGACCTTAGCAACAATAACCAAGGGGTGGAGCTTAGAAAATATGCAAATTGTTTGTACATTCCATTTGCTAAATTGAATCAATATAATCTTGTGAGAGTATTACGACTGTATATACTTTAAAATATGCATTTTGATTGTATATATTTCTCTATATGTGGCAAAGACAAGCCAAACCAGTCACTCGTCGCAAAAATCGATTTTGAGTTATTAATACAGTGTTAGAGAGTAAATAATAGCTATAAAATGGTAAAAAAATCATTCAAATCGGACATTTCCTTATAAAGTTACAAGCGTTTAACCACACAGCTGTTTAAAGAACAATATATGAGAAATTAACCGTCAAAATTTATGATTTCAGGCATTTCTCATGCAGAAACTATCTTAAAATCCTTAAAAAGTATTGTTTTAACATTGAAAATGGGGAAAATAACAGCATAGAATGATGTGTAGATATATAAAGGGTAGTTTAGTGCGATAAAATCAATTTTTAAAAATTTGACATTCCAACATGTTTTGGCCATTTTCTCTGAAACACGATTTGCAAAGAGTGACTGGTTTGGCTTGTCTTTGCCACATATTAACTCCACTGAATTTAAAAACATAAAGATTAAGCCTGAGTGTAGGTACAGTAATTTTTTTTTTGTACAGTTTAGTCAAGTTGTAGGCCTATTTATTATTGTCTGAAATAAGAGTACATAAATTTGCCTCCCGAAAGAGTTTTAATTTATTGTGTTAATTAAGACCATATTATGGTAGATCTATGTTAGAGAGTAATTTACATTGTATTTTTACATTCATTGAATATATATCCTGAATGAATATAATGCAAATAAATAAATATATATCACATCCAAATTCCTGAAGACATTACATCATTTCTCCCATAATGCACTAGGTTTAAAATACCTTGATGATATTCTAGTCATGCAAGCAAATGTCCGATTCAAACACGGATTTATGGTACTAGGAAAGATTTAGTTGAAATTGACAAGTTACCAACAGTCTATAGCATTCAAATTAGTGTTACACTGTTATATTACCATGTTCATTGTAGGTCATTTCCACATTACCATAATGAATTACGCTTTTATGGACACAAGATGGCAGCAAACCAATTAACTATGGCTAAATAGATGGCAGTTAATTTAACTTAATGTCTTTTCACTTACAAACAATAACGAAATAATTAAAAACTGGTGGTAATAAAAATAAATTGAATAATAATGTACACGCAAAATTCTGCTTGAAAATCGAGTTTGTATTAAACAGAAACAATTAATTTCTTTGTTGCATTTCGCAAAACACAATTCTGTGAAGAACATTAACAGCTACAGAAGGCGTTCAACTCAATTAATCAATTTAATTAACTTTTTTAAAGAAACACCAGACAATCTAGTCACAAAGTTAGTGGAGAATGATGCAAATGTAGTTACAGCAATTTTGAAATAGGTTTCAGCAACAATGTAAAGTGAACATGAAAGTTAGCAGTATCGTTCATTCGTATTCTCGTCATAGCCACTCATAGAGTGAATTTTAAATTCTAATATTCTACATGTGTATTGCAGTGTATTCTTACAACTAGGATAAAAGTTGCCTGTTGTTTTGTTTTAGAGTACTGCAGGAGACCCCATCTTTCCATTGGTTATGTAGTAGCATTGTCATCAGCGAATTCTATAGATGGCTAAAACTCACATCCAATGGCTGCATGATGTTTTCCCCTTGCACAAACTCAATTGAATTCAAACAAATTATTCACAACCATCAGTGAAAAAGGGACAAAACAGCCAACACTAATCACTCTTAATTACTCTGATTCTAAAAACTAAAAAATTATGTTTAAAATTATTGTCCTGAAGGTCACAATTGAGCCTGGGTTATTACAAGAATAAATTACTGTCTTAGGATTACACTAAGTGATGCTATCTCGAGTGAGTTGAATGGTTTAAATAAGTATGTTTAAGACGATGTTAGTCTTCTACGAAATCATCATCTTCATTACTTGCTGAAATTACGTGCTGAAAATGAAAAATGAAAATGGATCTTTCTTCTAAGCCGCACCCTGTTGCTGAGGTTCCACAAAACGACAGCGTTAAAACATACGCCAACACATGTGTTTGTGGGACAACACGAGTGCTTTTTAGACACGCGCATACTCTTGGCCCTGTTGCTAATTGGTCAGTAGTTCAACTTTGAACGACACTCCGTAAAGGGATCCATTAGATATTTTATTTTGCTATGCAGATGAAGAATTGATAATTAGTACTACTGTCACAGGGCTCCAAATGCTCATCAATTACGCAAATAATCATGATCTTCGCTTCTATCCAACTAAAACTGAGTGTTTCGTCTTTGGTAAACAGTTTCTTATACGCACGCCCTACTTGTTTTTTAATAATTGCACTCTTACCATTTCGGAGACTATAAACTAATTAGGCGTTGATCTTTCCAGTAATTTTAAATCAGATTTAAATGTTGAAAATAGAATCCGTAAATGTCAGCGTGCATTTTATTCATTAGACAGCGTGGCCCTGTGCAAAAATAGTACTTCTGTTAACCTCATGTCTGGAATACTAACCTATTCTTTCCTATGGCTGTCAATGTGTTAACATTATGTTGTTAAGTTTGAAAAGTTTCAAAATAAACTGTTAAAATCATGTTTGGGTCTTCCAAAATATTGCAGATCATTGGACTCACTAATCAATGCTATGGAGTTTGACCTGCTTTTCAGATTTTAAATAAACTTGTCTATTTCTCACCATATTAATTGTGCAGCCTGTAACAACATGGCATACAAGAATACAGTCATTGATAGGATAAAGTCTTTTTCCTTCAGTAATTTGATATTTGACAAGAAATACTTTTTGTAAAAATGAATGCAAAAGAGGTGGTGACTCCCCAAGCAGTATTGCTGAGAATTTTATATAATGACCAATTTTTCAACTTATTAAGGAACTTTTATCACCTTTCTAACACTTACCACCTCTTTAACTGGTATTTGTCAGACGAGCTTTTATTCTGCTTTTGTTTAAAATGACCTTTAATTGACGTAATACTATTTTAATTGAAATAGAGGTTTATTGATTTATTTTCTGAATGTTTTAAAAGTTTTACTAACAAAATTTCTAAGATTGTTTAATTTCTTTTTATGCTGTTTTTTTTTTTTGGCCTTGTGAAATTGATTTGAAATTGTCCTTTTCTTACTGTAGTTTTAAGTACAATAGTTTAAGTTCCATTCTGTAAGTGACGGGTTTCCTGCTGTTGAATGAGAATTTTAATAAATAAATTAAATAAAAAGAATTGCGAGTTAAAGTAAAATAATCGGTTTTTGCTTGGTAGCTGTTCGGTGTTTTAAAGAATTTTCATGGGTTGTAGTTTTGCTTGTACTGTGTTTATTAAAATGGTGTTCTGTTCTCCCCTTTTATTGATCTGATTGAAATTGTAACATTTTTTTTTCTTTAGCTTAATTTAATGAAACTGGCTTGATTTAATGAAATTGTCTGTTTTAATTAAATTGTTCTGTTGCTTTAAAGTAAATGTACTATTTTACTTCTCCATTCCGAAGGTTTTTTTCAATAAAATTACTGAATTGTCATTGACTACCTGTATAAGCCACAAATCTAACTGGTATTCACATCCAAGAATAATTCCTAGGTCTAAAAGTTTTAAATGCACTAAATTTTGACGTAAGTGGTAAATGTGGCATATAAAATAACGGTTACTGGTAGAGTTTGAATGAATTTAATCTCTTTCCATTTTTCATTTAGCAGTACTTACGGAAGAAAACTGAAGTTCTCTTTTAAGAATAACAATTTAATTAATCATGGTATATTTGACAACATAAAATCAATAATTGATACAAAGACATTCTAAAATTTTAACAGCATTCTGAGAAATCTGAGCTTGGAGCTATAAATTTTTATAGTCTGTGGTCTGAAAGTCGTCAGTGTTTCTTCATCCTCAACATATTTTAACTTTTCCTTTGTCGTTTATCATATAGTAATCATCATTCTGGCACTAATTGGTGATGTGTTAAGTGTGGTTTTTTTTGTTTTTTTTTGTTTTTTTTGTTTTTTTTTTGGTTTCTTTTAATTCTAAATTCTGTTCAATGGATTACATGCTAAACACACTGCTTCATAATTAATCGCATTTTATACTGTATTCATATTTTTCACAATTTACATTATTATCACTGCAATTATACATAAAACAACATGATGTAGGTTTTTACATCTAGGTGTTTCACTTTATAAAACCCTGGCCGGTAAATAAAACACACCCTCAA